GCGAGTGTGTGTTGGCCAAGATCCGACTGCGAGACAGAGCGTTAGCGCTAAAATAGGATTGCTTTTCACTGGCGGTGAAGCGAGAAAAACTGAACAGCGGTTGGGTTTTCAGGTTCTGGGCTCCGAACCTTATTTGTGCAGAGGTGACCAAAAGCCTTGGGCACGGGGGGAAAGCTAGAGGGTGACAACTGAAGGTGATTTATTTAGCGTCTTATTCCATCCACGGTGGGGGAGTCTTGTGTCACTCGCCTTTGGAGGACTGGAGAAGGCGCCGAGCCGAAAGCTGGGCTGCGCGGCGGGAGAGGCGGGAAGGAGGTCGGCGCTCGCCCAGGAACCTCGTGGAGAGTTGAGGGTGGAAGAGGAGAGTGGCGCTGCAGACGCAAGGGGGGCTTGGCGAAGATTGGAGGGTGGTGGCTGGGAGAGCATGGAAACAAGTCACTGAGCGGGAGGTCTTAAATCTTCTCGTCTGGGAGAGACCATGTGGCATAAAACCCAGTAATGTATAAAGAAGTTTGTCCCCTGCTTTCCCTGGCACTGAATATCAGAGCTTTCCCCTACCTCTCCAAGGTCACAGAGCTTACCGAGTTCCCCTAGTCCCTGTCTGATCCATAGATGATATTTTAAAGAAAACATTCTCACAAAGGTGACTTAAAGAGTCCACCGCCCTCCTCTCCCCCCATAAATTTGCAACACAGAAGCAGAACACGGGGAAAGTACTACATTAATCCAAAGGAATGACTTTACTAGTGGAAGAATTTCTGTAACCTGCCATTTGAACTGGGAAGGTCCTTTGAGGCCAGATTCTTCCGAAGGACGTTCAAATCAGGTCGGGTCTGCAATTACCTTCTCTAAGAATTTAACAGATTGACCAAGCTGAAAAGAAGTCTGGGAGAGTATGCAGTATATATATCCTGGGGACGGGGCACTGTTGGCTGGCATATGTATTCTCAGTGACATAAGACAAGTTGTCAAATCTTGTCCAGAGACAAGATAAGAACGCAAAATCTCAGTTACCAGGTAGCTAACATCATCTAAGAAAATAATTCCAACCTTTGAAGTCTGAATCACACTGGACACACTTTAGAAACACTGGGGACCAGATTAACACAATTCCCTTATGCTCCAGGGCTGTGGCAGTTTCACAAAAGTCCAGGCGTCTCACAGAGACATAATCCCAGTTCAGAGACTGAAGGAATGGCCAAAGAGGAGACCTGGTGGGAAGGAGGGTTCCCTATGCTTGAGAAGGAGAGAGTGAGGTTTTGTTTTCAAGTGTCAAATATGAGATTTGTAATCAATCAGCATTTAGGTCAGTATCTCTAGTCCATGGCACAAATGTTTTTCATATGAAATTTTATCTTGAGAAAAAGTTGGTCATCAAAGATTCAAGTCTGGAGTTGAGATAGGAGTGATGTCTAAATTACAGACTGAGGTACTATAGGCTTCCTTACCAAATAAAACAACAGCCAGAACCCTGGGGACCCACTCAGATGTAGAACAATCAATGAAGATACCCACAGTACTTCATTTTATTTTCTTAATTGAACCAACATAAAATGGCAGTTTCCTCAGCAAACATGTCCTACTCCATTTACCAAAATGGCTTTAAATGGCCCTAGCCACAACAGTAGTCGTAATAGGAGACATTTAAACTGATTTGAAGAGGCCATGGTTTACTTCTTCCTTCCATTTCTAAAGCTCAGTCCTCCATCCCTTTTTTTCCAACCTCCCACATGTTCCCTAATAAATATACTGTGTATTGAGCATCTGCTGTAATACCAGACCCTGTGGATACGCTGGTGAGCAAAACGGCACAGTCCCTGTTACAGTGGATGGGGAGGCAAGCATTAACCAAATATCCATACGAAGGACTATATAGTTGCTGAGCAGGACAAATTTTATTAAAGAAAAACATTTGTATTATAAAAGATTTAACCCCAACAAGAACTGTAAACAACACTGAGATCCAGTTAAATGCTATGTATGCTGAAGTATTTAGGAAGAAGTGTCTTATGTCAGCAACTTATTTTGAAATGTGTATTTTAAAAGCTAGATTGAAGGATGGACAAACGGATAGATGGATAGATCTGTGATAAACCCAGTATAACAAAATGTTAATTGTAGATTCTATGTGGTGGGTAGATGGCTTGTTCACTATACATTATTTCCAACTTTTCTGTGTGTTTGAAAAGTTCACATTAAAAAATGTTAGAAAACCGTAAATAAACAAATAGCGTAATAAATTCTAACTATGTCGTCCAGTTCCAGCGCTGAGCAGATGAGGAATCCCCAGTGACAGGGGCTGATGATTCCCAGGGCTGCTGCACCTCCACCTGAACAGATGTCGATTTGATCCGTTCGGCACAACTCACTTCTTGAAACGCATATGCCTAGTTTGGATTTCTTTCAATTTTCATTACATTAGGAATACTGTTTAATAATGATTGTTCAATGTGTTTACTTACTTACTCTGCAGACAAACATTCACTTGGTAAACTTGGAAAGAGACAGACTCCTGGTATCTCAGATTAAACATGTAGGGGAAAAACCAGGTCAGCTACAACATTCTGTCTCACAGGTGCACTTTTGAAGAAGTGTCTTCATCTCTAGGAAGGGAAAGCACTGATTATTGACAAGTGGGTACCCTGTAAAGCTACACAATCACAACAGTGTTTCTTGGTTCCCCCCAACCCCCAACAAAGTACTTATTTTGTCAGTCAAGTCAATACTCAAGGGAAAAATTGGTTGTGAAACATTTTTCACATTTTTTTCACTGTTTTTGGTTGTTTAATAGCTTATCCAAGAGGCCTAAATATTCCCAGACTAAATTATCTAAGCTTATTGAAAACTGTCCTATAATATACAGCATTAATTTATTAATGTGAAAAAATAACTTGTAAGAAAGATATGGTAAATCAATATTGCCATCAATCAAATAATAATAATTATTTTAGTATTTATTGAATGTTTTCTATCTGTAGTGTTGCTGGGCAAGAAGTATCATTCCTGACTACAAAGATCTTACAGACCTATGACTATTCCTTTGTTTTCTTGAAACTATTCATAGTTTAAGTTTGCTTTTTTTTTTTTTCTTATCAAGGCATTTGGATGAGACACAAGCACCTTACCTTAAATATAAGAAACTCACTAGTGTCATGTGGGTTGAAATTAATTAACATTAATAAGATTGGATCACTGAGCATTTCCTAAGAAAGCCTTTAGGGTGAGCTTTGATTTGTCCCTGAAGATTGTACGCAGCAGAGCTTTGTAGCAATGCATAGTTCATGTTACAAAGAGTGTGGTGCGCTAACACAGCTTTTTCCTTATTCCTAGCAGAGGCGTCTGAAGTGTGTTGCCTAGGTCGCTACATCCCTCTCATTTTTACTAAATAAACCTGTACTTTTAGCATACTCCAGAAGAAGTAAATAATCAAAGTGGTTGTATCTGTAAAATTGATATATACTATAATTTGTTTACTATAAATCTGTTGAGAAAAAAAAAAGCATTGTTTGTGTTTCCAAACATTATGGCTACCCTTTATATATAAAAGGGAAGTTATAACTGGTATTTAACATTCTGTTAGCCTTTGGCATTTTGTTTTCACCCTATGTGTAGGTAAAAGCCTAGTGAAATCGGCCATTATATTTACTTTTAAGTTGTTGACCAACAAACTGTTCTTACTTTATACTTAAGATACTATAGTATCTTACCTTGTAGATACCTATAGCTGATTCTGTTTCCCTTTTTCCAATGGCTTTTGAAGCCTAAAGCAAAATGTATGTCCCACCTGTACAGAATCTTATTGCATGCATTTTGAGAAGTGACTTCATTTCAAGGTTCATTTTAACTTTGCTCTGTCATTGTCCCATTGTATGCATTTTCTTGCCTACTTAATAAAAAAACCCTGTTTTTCTCTCCACGGTAAATGCATTAAATATCACTATATAAGATGTGTAAAATACATATAAGAAAAAAGAAAAGAAAAATGATCTGGTATTTCACCACCCATTTTTAGTTCTTAATATTTTGTCGTTTCCCCATGCATGTATATAAATTAACCAAGTTCCCACTTGTTGCACGTTTAAATTATTTTTAATCCATTGCCATCATAAACAATAGAGTGACATAGCTACACATAGTAAACACAGCTAAATATTTGCTCTCACTCTTGATTATTTCCTTAAGATAAATTCCTAAAAGTGGAATTGCTGGGTTAGGCAGAATGCAGACTCTTTAAGGCTGTGTAGTGTATTGCCAATTTTCCCTAACAAATGATGACACCAACTAAATACACACACAATGTCTAAGTGGCCTTTGTCCAATCCCCTTACCGGCAAGTGAGGTTGTTTTGTCCTGGTTTTCATTTTAGCTTTTTTGTGTGTGTGCTAATTTTGTAAACCACCTTAAGCCTCAACTAGAGCATGTGGGACATAAATAAATAAAACAAAAAATCTTCGAGTAAAATAAAAAGCCATGTGGTGCACATCTAAAAATTAGCTTAGCCAAGATGTTTCTAAATATTCATATCAAAAATTACCTACGTGCACAAAAATGTATGATTGGGGTTGTATGTCCTTTGCTGAAATTCTGTTTGATATCATGTGATTTCCCCCAGTCCTCCCACACACCTGCCAAAAATAAAAGATTCCAGAAAGGAAGTTCTGTACAAACTCAAACTGTTGTTTATCATTTTCATCTTCAGTACACATACACAAGCCGATAACAGTGAGCTGATGGTTTATCAAGTCTCACAGCAAACTAAAAAATAGACTAGGTGTCGGAATTTGTGTGATCCAGCAGCAGAATGGTAGCCAGAGAAGGCATTTTATTGTCCATTTCTTGAAAAGAAAACAGCATAATGATTTATAACATCCACTGTGGTCCAATCACCTTTGCCATGAATCACCTTGTTTTGGGTACCAGTAAGTCCCAAGCACTACTGAAGAAAATGTCCTTACTGACCAACCATTAGGTGGGCACGTACTTCGAGTTCTTCTTTGGCCTTTAGGAGTGGATTTGTACTATTCCATCCAAGTTCTTGCCCGGTTCCCTTTTTAATTAACTGGCTAAAATTTTAAAGTACGTATATAAATGTCAGCTTAGAACCAGTTAAAATGACCTGCCCAGTACCTAGATTGAAACATGTACCCTGGGCCTTATTAGCATTATGTTCGGATGAATTGTACTGATGTTTCTGAGGATAAATGGTTTGGAGAATGTAGTGGATTAAATAGTTTCTCTACAAAATTCATGTCTACCTGGAACTTCAGAATGTGAATTTATTTGGAATCACATTATTACAGATATAAACAATGTCATTAAGCTATGGTCATGTCAGATTAGGAGGGCCTGAAATCCAACACCTGGTGTCCTCATAAGAAGGCCCTTTGAACACGAAGAGACACACAGGGAGAACACCATGTGAAGGTGGAGACAGAGACTGGAGCGACATGTCTACAAGCCAAGGAATGCCAACCAACCATCAGAAGTGAGGGGAAAGGCCTAGAGAATAGATTCTCCCCCAGAGCTTCCAGGAGGAACCAACTGCCAACACCTTGATTTCTAACTTTAGCCTCTAGAATTGTGAGATAATACATTTCTGTTGTTTTAAGCCACCCAGTTTGTGGTACAGAGGTAAGCAGGTTGCTACAAAAAGCATCTATATTAAATAGGCTTTTAGTGCAGTCTAGCTGTGGCATCTGTCACCAGGCTGACTGCCAGGATTGACTGAGTGATCTGGCATCTTAGTCCAGAGTTCCCTTCCTCTGAGAGTTCCATGTGTGTTCTTCCCAAAGTGTCAACTCAATCAAAAAGAATGACATTTCCAAACTGACAAAGTCTATTCTTAGTCAGGATATATGGGGAGCTGTACTCCCCGGCTAGATCTTTTCAACAAGCATTGACATCCCCTTGCAAGCAAATGCAGGTTAGCCAAATCTGTTTTACAGAGTGCCTCTCTCCACCTGATATTTTGTTATAATATCAGTCAAATCACAACTCCATATCAGTTTCATTCAGAAAGCACGTAAATTGTAGAAAATTGAACTTATATAAGCCTTGACTTTGATGAAATTCTAGTCATTTCAAAGACAAATCATTATGTTTTCCTTGATACTGCAGCAGAGCAATATGATTTGACTATAATAGGAGGAACAAAAAATAATTAAATTTATTTTACTCTTTTACTGAATTAATATTTATACCATAAAGCAAGACTATAAATGTTAAAGTGAAACTTCACGTCTATGGAGAGGACTCAGGAAAATCAATCTTAACTATAAGAAACTCCATCAAGTACAAATCTAGTTCACAACTTTATATTATTAAGAGGAAATCTGGGCATTAATAATCTTTATTTTTTTAAGTCAACATTATATTGCAAAACAAAATGGAAACCTTATTTTGGTCTGTATGGAGAAGGAAAACCAGTTATCTAAATAAATTGCTTAGGAAAGAGATTCTGATCCCAGGTCAGCCCCTAAACATTCAATGGACTTGGCTATGCGAAATATAGTCTATATTTGAGAGTTAACTACAGAAATATTTTCCTTAGAGAATCAACTAGGCAATACTTGATTATTTATTTCACTGGAAAAAAATAGTTCCAGCTAATTAAAAGCTACCTAAGCTTTCTATGTCTCATCTATAATTTAAAAATAGATTGCCAATGATAAATATTTATTGAGTTATTTTAATATCCACTTTATGGAGATACTAGTATTTGTAATATTTAGAAAACTCACCTAAGAAACATAGACAAAATATTCTGTAAAACACCAAAACAGAATCTTTTAAAGAACATATTGTCAGCAAATAAAATAACTCACAACAGAATAAAGGAACTCTGCAGCCTCTTTGCAAGCTAGTTCTAGAAACACAAGAAGCCCTGAAATGAGTCTAGTAAGGGAAAAGAGAGTCAGAAATTAGGGAGGAGGGTGCAGCTCAGCCATAGAGTACATGCCTAGCGTGCACAGCATCCTGGGGTTCAATCGCCAGTACCTCCACTAAACAAATAAATAAACCTATTACCTCCCCGCCCCTCCCCCCAAAAAGAGAGAATCAGGAATTAGCAGTACTGAGCTTCAGCAAAAGAATGAGTGTGGAGTTCCCGTGTCTTGCCCTTTTTGCTTCCTCTTGCTACCATTAGAGCATGATTCCAACTTTCTTTTTTGATCTTCTATCCTTTTCAGAACCTGATGAAACTTAACACGTTGTCACCACAAAAATGGTGCATATACTCATAGAAGTAATTACTCACTTAAGATTTAATAGTAACTCAAAGTAAATATTCATCAAATCTTGGTTCTTCATCCTATTCTCCACATTCATTCCAAGACCCTGACCCCAGCATACTGTGGCCCAGCATTGTTCACTCTTGACAAACTGATCTCTACATCGTCTCCCTACTCCACCCCAGCCCACCCCCCATACACAGACACATATTAACGGAGAGACCTATCTAGCATTTTCTGGGCATTCCTTCCTGAACAGAAAACCTGTAAAGTTAAGTCTTATGAATGTAAGGAAATGCCAGGCAGGGTAAGAGCACCTGTGGCAGGGGGAACAGCATGTGCAAAAGTTTTGAGGCTAAGAAGAGCTTGCGACTGTTAAGGCACTGAAAGGACTGCCAGGTTGCCCGTGCGGCTGGGACAGAGTGAGTGGAGAAGGGAGTGGCATGTGATGACTTCAGAGAAAGAGGCAGGGACATATCAAGCAGAGCTTTCTAGGGGTTTTGATTTTATTATAAGTGCAATGAGAAGCCACTGGGAGGTTCTGAACAGATCGCTGGTTTCTGAATGAATGGCAAGGGATGGAAGGGGCACAACAGAAGAATTAGACAGACCCGTTAGGAGGTGATTGAGGTGATTACAGTAATCCGGACTAGAGATAGCAGTGGTTTGGGTTCAGACAATAGGAGTAGAGATGAAAAGAAGTAGATGAAGGCAAGATATATTTTGGAGGTAGAAAAGAGGGAGCTGGAGGGTTGGAACAGAAAAAAAACAAAGAAAAGTCCTAGATTTCTGGCTTCAGCAGCTGGTTAGACAACAGTAATGCCCTTTACTAAGGTGAAGAAGATTGAGAGATGACCAGGTTTTAGAATGTCAATGAAGAGTGTCCCTCTAAAGGTATAAGATCCTTGAGGGAGCGTCTGTGTTTAAACTTTGCTTTCCAGTATATACTAGCACCTAGCACATTGCCTGACGCAGCGAATACTAACTAAACTGGGTTGGATGACAAGCCTGTAACATTCTGATGATTCTCTGCTTATGAAAGAGGATTCAGTACATTTAAATGAACTATTAAACAGACATGGGATACAGTTAGAAGATTCACATTTCAAGTTTATGTATGAAGTGATAGTGATGATCTCTTCTACATATATGAGTCTTTTGTAAAGTAAGGGACTTTTTTTTTTACAGAATGTCTGATGTAAAGTAAGCCTGATGCTATAAACATACTTCAGGAAGGAAAAAGTCCTAAGAACTTCACTATAGATGAGGGCTTTTTATTTTACTTGAAGCTCTTAAATTCTATTGTTTTAGAAAACTGACTATTAATGGCACTGCAGCCTTGTACAACTAGCAAACAAGAGGGCAAGTGACATCACCTTCGTGACAGCTGTTGATGCTTGTCAGATCTGACAGGCTAAAGAGGAGCCCTCAAATGACATTGAGACCAAATCAGTATTCAGCTTTTAAACTCTGAGGGCAACATGGTGTTTAGCATAATCACCTTGACATGCTATTTGCATGTCCCAACTCGACTAGAATATGGACTATTCATTGTGTGAAAAGGAGAAATCCTATACAAAAGGATACAAAAGCGTATCTTCACTGGTGTTCCACCAAAAGGTATCTAGTATCTTTAATACTTTTCAATAGGTAA